TCACTCGTCTCACTCTCACTCGTCTCACTCTCACTCGTCTCACTCTCCTCACTCTCACTCTCACTCTCACTCTCACTCTCACTCTCACTCACTCACTCTCTCACTCACGCACGCACGCACGCACGCACACACACACACACTTGAGAAGGTTGCTCCGTGGAGCGTGATTTCAGGCTGCTTCGCGGTGTGCATTAGCCCTTTAAGTGAATACTTAGCTCTTGACTTGATTCAACGGAAAGAAGTGCAAAGTCCGCTCACTTGAATGTTTCAACAAAAAGTATTAATTTAGTGTATATTAAAAATTGCAGGTACACAGTCAGACGTCTCTGACTGCTTCCCATGACATCACTAGCTTCGTTGGCCAGCGTCGTGATGCCATGCGCTGGCCCCCTGCTACTGTACAATGGTTGGAAGATTCGTAGGGTAGGGTAGAACGAGAACTAGAGTAGTGTCCTTGGAAACAGGATTGGACGCACACAAAGAGCCGTATCGGCGCAGCTAGATCGGATCAGGTAGGACCTGGATAAGAAATAGTGGAAGGGCTGGACATCGAAAAAGTTCAATACTGTATATTGTATTCAACGACAATCTGTGAAGGTGCTGGCGCATAGTCTTTTCCTCGTGGCCGCAGCGCCGCGGCACAGTGTTCTTTTGGATGACCTTTGGTCATATAGAGCTGCATCAACTGCTGTGCTGTCGTGGGTACAAGATGTTTTGGGAAAGTGTACTTTTGTAGCGTGTGGTGGCGTGATTGTAGGCCTGAGAGGCGTAGTCTGTGGCTCCCTGCAGACTGCGGATCACGAATCTGCCAAGGGTGAGCGGGGAGTTGAAAGGTGACCGTTCTGTTAAGAGGATCGATCAGGAAACCGAGTAGATGGTCGTCGTCCACTGGCTCTATTTCAACTGGGTGTTCATAAAATTCAGGATGGGCCAAAGTGGTGATGGGGAGTGCTGACCTGTATTGTTCGTTGAGCAAAATGTATCGGTTGTCAACGTAGCGGGTGTTGAGCAAATGAAGGCTGGGTTGGTGCAAGAAATTGTGGTACGTGGTTTGCCATGTGTGTTCGATGAGTGTGATTGCGACATTGCAAAGTGCTGGTGAGAGCTGACTGCCAATGCCTGCTCCTTGGATTTGTTTGTAGTAGGTGTTGCATGCTTGGAAAATGCATGAGTGAAGGGCTTGTTGTACAATGAGGGGGATGTGTTGAGTGTCCAGGGTGCGTTGTTGTGGGTGGTGAATGTAGTGTCGACCAATGTGGGAATGTTGGATGGGATTGCCAGTAGACTGAACATCTATGGTGATGGTGGTAGTATTGTGTTGTGTTTTCCAGCGGTGGCATAGGCTGATGACTGCATCGACGAGGCGTTGCTGAGGTACACTGTTGAAGAAGCCGACAAGGTCATCATTGATTGGTGTGAGGTGGATGTCGTCGGGTGTGGTCTGGAAGTGGTTGTGGAGATGTTGCCACAGGTTGGGTATGGATAACTGGCCTGGGTGTTGTGGTAGAAGATGAAGGAGCATGATGTCTAATGCTTTGGAGGTGGCTCGTAGTAGTGTGCCAGCAATGGATCTGAAGTAGCTGATGACTGTTCTACCTTTGCGCCAAGATTTCTTTTGTTTGAGGAAGACTACACCATGTGGTGTGTAGAATTGCTTGCGGGATCCCCATGGGTAGGCTCGACGTATGCTGGCGGGGAACGATTGTGTGAGAAACTGGTGAAGTTGTTGGGCAGTGAGATCTGGTAGTGGTAGAAATAATTGTGGTGTGTTCCAAGTGGTGAGACATCCGTGAAAGTAGTGTTGTGGACAGAAAAGTCGCAAATTTTGTCATTCGTGGTCGGCATGATGGAGTACCAGCTTGTCTGTAAGAAACTGTTGAAGCTGTGTAACGTTGCGGGATGTAAAGCGTGGGGTGTATAGAATGTTGTCGATGTGCTGTTTCCATTGTTGGTGTAGAAAAGGTAGGCTGTGTTGATGGAGGGCGGTGGGTAGACCATGGTGTCGTAGCCAGTGAGTGAGTTGTTGTTCAAAATGTTGGAAATATTGTGTCTTTGTGGGAAAGAATGTGCTGTTCATGTTTGCCTGTAGGAATAGTTCAAGATGGCTGGGTAGCTGTAGGTCGTCAAGTGTAAGCACGTAGTGGCCATCATAGAGCTGCGGTGTGTGGTTGGGGCGAAGCAGGGTGTGCATGTGGTGGCAGCTGCGTGGCATGTCTGTTGCTGAGGGGTGTGCGGAGAAGAGTTCCTCCCAACGTTTGTGGTTGTAGAGCCGTGAGCGTAAAGTCTTGTGTGCTGCTTCACGTAATTTGGTGGTAGGTGGGTGGAAGGGAATGACGTGATGCATGTGGTGTTGGATCAATGTACGAAGCCATTTTTCCGTGGAGGACGAGAAGGTACTGTGACAGAGGAAAGGAATGCTGAAGGGTTTGTTGGCTTTTGGTGGAGTGAGATTGCGAAAGCTGAGCGCTGAGTGGAGAAGGTGAAGGACACGGGATCGATCTGGTTCCTCTAAGCTGGCGGCCATTCGACGGAAGGCATAAATTTCGAGATCAGTGTATTTGCCGCTGCGGATGGCTGTTGATGTTTCGAAAGATGAACGTGTATGTTTGCTGAGCTCTCGTAAAACTGTCAGGGCGTGTAGCCGTTGACTCGTGTGAAGGTGGGGTTGCTTGATGGTGTGTTGTCGTCGTCGTAGCCGTTGGAAGAGACGTTTGTGAGTGGACATGCGTGTGAAAGTGGTGCGGTGTTTTGAGAATTGCCAACCTGAGGCTTTGAGTTTGAGGTGTCGTTGAATGTATGGCCAATTGAGTGTAGGTTGCCATTCCTGGATCCGCAAGTGTTCGTAGGTCCAAGCTTGATCATAGGTGTCGTGATGGGAAAGGTAGATGGTACTGTAGTGGTGGAGGTTGTTCTTGGAGTGCCAGTAGCGTAGGGAAAGTTCAGCTGAAATTGGATGGTTGTTGTGTAATTGTTTGAGTTTTGCATGGCGATTGTATTCTCGCTTTGGAATAGTGATACTGGTAGAGCCGATGTACGTGTGTCCATGTTGGTGGTACTGGTGTCTTGTGTGATGTTGGTTGAAAAAGAGCTTTGCATAGACCGCATTAGGATGTGTGAACATTTGGTAGTGGTAGGTGTGTGGTGTAACTTGTAGTTGGTTGAAACGGGAGCGCCAATGTATAGAGTGATGTGTTTGAGAGGGAAAGGCAAAGAGGCATGTAAGGTGAATAAGACTGACAGAAAAAATAGCGTGTGACTTGTCAATGTAGGGGGTGAAATGGACAAAGTGTGATAGCGCTGTGTGCAATGTAGTTAAAGATTGTAGGGTAAGATGTGTTGGTTGATGC